CTGAGCTGAACCTGCTCCATTCCTCCCCAGGAGAGGCCCTGGCATGGCCCCACGCCTGCCTCCAGAGGGAATCAAAACACATATGGGGACACAAAGGCCGTGACCTTGAAGATGTGCTTGCCCAGGAGGACTTTGTGAGAGAACTCGCTCATCTCCAGCTCCACCTCCAGCGTGGCTGGCCCTGCCACGGGGCTGGTGAGCAGCAGCTCTCCCGTGTGCTGGTCCGAGCGCCGCACGGCGAAGACGCCCTGGCCCCGTCCGCCCGTGATGGCGAAGCGCAGGCTGTCCCCCACGGAGCGCGAGGTGGACATCTTGAAGAGGACACGGGGCACGGTGCGGTTGGCCTGGAGCGGCAGGTAGTGGAAGGAGATGGAGCTGGCAGCCAGGTGGCAGGCTCGGCTGTCCATGGGGCAGGGGTTCCTCTCGCACTGGCTGCCAGGAGAGAAGGGTGCCACTGCTCAGTGCCGTGGTTTGGCTCTCAGGGAGCTGCCCTCATCCTTGCACACAAGCCCAGCCCGTGGCACAGGCAGCATCTCCAGCCCTGCTGTCGGCCCTGTGGCAGAGCAACCTAAGACAGCCATAACCAAGTGTACCCATCATCGGGTCTCTGCCTCACCCCTGTTTCTGCCAGGAAAATGCCATGGCTTGCAGGGACACAGCTCTGGGTGACACTGAGGCTGGGACTGGGTGAGTGCCACAGTCCCAGCTGAAGGCCAGGGATGGAGCCAGATGTGCCTCCCAAAGAGGAATCTGTCAGGATCAGGGATGATCCTCTATTTGAGTGGCACAAAGCAGTTTAATCTCAAGAGTGGGATGTCTGGGAGTGCTGGAAGGCAGCTGATGATGCTACATGGATGTGCAGCAGAAGAAAATCAGCATCATTCCCCCCAGGCTGGAACTCTGAGAGGAGCCAGGATCCTGGATAAAGCCACCAAATACTGGGGTGCTACCACCTGCACCCCCAGCATCCCAAGACCATCAGGGAACATGCCACGCACACCTATGCATCCCATGTGGCAATTTGCTACCAGTGGTGGCTGCTACCCTCCCTGCTGCCCCTGGGTGACACAATACAGCCCCCAGCCCACAACAGGACCCATCACCCTGGGAGAGGCCACGACACAGCCTGAGCCACGCACAGTAGGGTACTCACAAGGCAGAGGTCTTGACATAGCTGGTGTTGTGGCGTGGTGGGGGGCACTTGGGGCGCACGCAGTGGTGACCCCCGAAGGTGTTGATGCAGAGGTCACCCTGGCTGCAGTTGTGCTGCTTCCCAGCGCACTCATTCACGTCTGTGGTGGTGACACAGGGGGAGTGGGGCTGTCCCCACTGCACCCCTCTCCCCATGGCAGGCTCCCTACCCTGCACCCTGGGCTCTTACCCTCACAGGCATTGCGGTCAGCATGGAGCAGATACCCAGGGGGGCAGAGGCAGCGATAGGAGCCAGGGAGGTTGAGGCAGTCATGGAGGCAAATCTGTGTCTGGGGGCTGGACTGGTAGAGCTGGCATTCATCCACATCTAGGGTGGACAAAGTGGGAAATGGCCAGATGTGCCATTGCCACCAAGCCTTGGTTCTCCACCCTCCATCGTCTCATCATCTTCTTCACCCCCCTTTTACCTTGGCACACACCACCAGGTTGCAGCTGGAAGCCGGTGTCACAGCTGCAGCGCCGGGAGCCCGAGCGGCCCTCGGCACAGCGGGGCTGGCGGCTGAAGGAGCTGTTGCTCAGTGTCACCCAGTCTGCAGGGGACAGCAGGTGTCACATGCTGAGGCACGGGGAGATGGTGGGGGCCAGGGAAGGGGCTGCCAGGGAAGGGGGAGACAAGTGCAGCATGGCCAGGTACTGTCCCCATGAGAATCCCCCTCCTCCGCAGCCCAAACCCGAGCACCTACAGGAGTAGATGGGGCTCTGGCAGCTGGGGCCTGACCAGCCTGGGGGGCAGAGGCACGTGTAGCTCTGGTTGCCATCCACGCAGGTCCCACTGTTGGCACACGGGTTGCTGGAGCAGTCATCAATACCTAGGGAGAAGGAGCTCGTGAGCATCGGCTGGAGAGGTGCATCCTTGCCCAACCCCGGTGCTCATTGCTGCAACCACTGGGCAGAGCAATGGAACAACCCCACAGCTCAGGGTGACAGAGGAGCCCCTTGGGAAGGCGGAGCTCATGGCACCCCAACCCTGCTCCACTTCACTTCTGCAGAAGGGTTGGGTGCCGCTCCACGTGCGGTTGTGCCGGCAGGCGCGTGTCTCCGAGCCCACCAGCCGGAAGCCGGCGTCGCAGATGAAGTGAACCTCGTGGCCCACCCGCAGGCTCCGGCCCAGCATCCGTCCGTTCAGGGGCACTGCCAGCTGCGGGCAGATCTCTGTGGACAGACAGACATGGGTGGGGATGGGCACTGCCAGCCTGGAGCCAACCCCCTCCTGAGGGAGCTGGGGGCCCTTGCCCAGGCTGTTGTGTGGGGCCAGGGATCAGAGCTGGCCCCGTGGGGATGCCACCCATGGTGACATGGTGACCAGCCAGGATTACCGTTGCGTTTGGTGGCCGGTCTCAGGAGGTGGCTCTGGAGGATGGAGAGCTGGTGCCGGAGCCCGCGGGTGCCCTGCAGGTGGGCAGCCTCCTGTGCCACCAGCAGCTTCTGCATCTGCCGCACCACACTGAGTGCCTGCTGCCGGTTCAGGCATTCCTGGGGGATCATGGAGACACCTCAATCATCTGCTGGGTTCCCCTGCCATAGCCTGGGAGGACCCTTCCAAGCAGGCAGCATGGTTGGGGTTGGTTTGGATGTCCTGCCCTGGACAGAGCCCGTTCCCATCCTGGCTGGGGTCTGCCCCTGGCTCTGTGTCTGCTCCAGGCTCAGCCCCCATCTCCCAGTCCTGCTCTGGCCCTTGGATGCTGTGGAGAAGCTCTATGCCCTGAGTGCATTTAACATCATTTCACTTCTGCAAGGGAAAGCCCCATGACAATCCCCCTGGCCCTGGCATCTCCACAGGTGCTGTGGCTGTGCCGTACCCCCCACTCTGGGCTGGTGTCAGGGTGCTGGGGTGTGAGAGGTGGGTGCTGAGCAGCCCAGAGAGGGAGATCTGCTGAGAGGCTGGAGGGGAGGGAATGCAGGTCCTTACCTGGGAACTGCTGAGGGGCAGCTGCAGGATGCCCAGGGCCAGCCAGGCTGGCAGTGGGATGAGGAGCATCACGCCGGGGCTGACTACAGAGGCAAGACGCTGACGGTCCGTGTCTGCTCCCAGCCGTGCTCCTGCACTCACAGGGATTTATCCGCAGCCTGTGCCCATGTGTTTGTTGGTTTTTCCCCTGCCTGAGGCCGAGCTGTAGGAAAGTTTCCCCTTGGCACTGGCTCTAGCCTCTCCCTTCCCTTCCCTTCCGTTCCTTTCCCTCTCTGCACATCAGAGGCTTTGGGGCCTTTCATGTCCCGGGGCCAGTAGATATCGGGGCCAGGCGGTGGCTGTCACGGCACTTACGGTGGTACCGGCGGTGCCGTGCTCACCAGTCCTGGCTCTGGGGCTCCCCGGCATGCAGAGATGCAGGATGAGGCTAATCCCGTGCACTAGCTAAGCCTGGGAAAGTCTCCTGGGAGAAAAGATGACTTTGGGGTCTGTGTGGGGGTTCTGCTCACCGGTGGGGCTGGGGCTACTGGGAAGGGTAGCCCAGGAATGCTGAGGACTCACTGGACTCAGCACAGCTTTGCTGGGGTGAGCTCGGCCTGGCTGGAGTTCAGAGGGGAACCCCAGTGTGCTGCTGCAGCCTGGAGCTGGGATGCAGTTGGTGTTAGGTCCACATTAACATAAGGCTCAGGGTTAATGTTAGAGTCAGCATTAGGGCTAGGGATGAGGTTAGGATTAGAGTTGGGGTTAGGGTTGGGGTTAGGATTAGAGTTGGGGTTTGGGTTGGGGTTAGCATTAGTGTTAGGTTTGGAGTTAGCATTAAAGTAATAGTTAGAGCTAAAGTTATTTTTTTGTTAGGGTTAATGTTAGTGTTAGGATCAGTGTCAAGGGTTCAGATCCATATTAGCAGGAGCGTTTGTATGAGAGTTGGGGTTGGCATTAACATCAGTGCCAGGGTTCAGGCCAGGGTCAGGTTTAGACTCAGGCTGAGGCAACTGAAGCATTTACAGCTGGGTTTATGCTGACACCCAGCTCAGCCCTGACAGCTGGTGCATTGGATGCTCCCAGTCCCTCCTGCCTGTGACATTTCAGAATCCTGAGCAGGGATGTCTGAAGCCCTCACCTCTGCCCTGTGCCAGGGGAGCACCTGCCGTGGGTTCTGCCAGCCCTGTGCTGAGGCAGAGCTCTCATGGTGCTGTTGAGCCCCCTGAGCAGCCTGGGCTGTGGGACCCCTGCTTGCCTCCAGGTGCCCACCGAGACACAGCCCCCCTGGGCCCAGCATGTCTCCTGCTGCCGGCCCCCTGGCTCTCACATCCTCCCACCCTGTAACCACGCTGCCCAGCCCTCCGGAGCGGGTATTTGGCTTCGTGCCTGCAGCGGTGTGTGTTACCTCCCCGGCATGTTTAATTCATGGGGCAGGAGGAAGGCTGGCAGCAGGGGCCCCCTTGCTGCCCCAGCCCCTTGGCTTCCAGTCTCCCAGTGTCCCAAAGTGGGTGCCGGTTGCGGCCCCTGCTCCTGCTGCCTTCACAGCCCGACCCCGGCTGGGCAGCGGGGCTGGGGCAGAGCACGGAGGGCTGACCCCGCTGCGGGACATCCCGGCGGGGCTGCAGCCCGGGGCCCCGGGAGTTGTCTGCCACATTCGCTCCAGCGAGCAACTGTTTTGACAGAGCCATTACTCACCCGTCAAGCTTTTGTTCCCGCTGCCCAGCGGTGCCTGTCTGGAGTCCTGAATAGGATCAAATCCTGCAACCAGACACACACACAGGCACGCAGGAGCGCACGGCCGAGCTCGCCCCAGAGTGGGGCTGCTGAGGGACGGCTCGGCTCTCCCCAGTCCTCCCTCCGGAGCTTGGGGGTCTGCTCCCCACATCCTGGGACCTACATGGAGCTCTTGGTCCTGCTGGTTTGCAGCCTCCTGGTGTGGAGGGTGGGTGAGACGAGGTCGGATGCTCCAGAAAAGTTGTCCCCGCTGGCTCCGGGAGGTAACTGTTGGAGGGGCTGCCTCTGGCAGCAGGGCTGGGAGGCAGATGGTTTGGGGGATGAGTGCACCCTGAGCACCGTCCCCTTGGGCCAGACCAGATGTGTGGGGGACTGGGTGGGTGGTGGGCACCCAGGGATGGCAGTGGGGGGGCTTGGTGGGTGATAGGGGCTGAGGATGGAATGGGGCTGGGAGAAGGAGCATGGACTTGGTGATGGGATGGAGTTGCGGGGCTCTGGGGCTGGTGTTGCAGTGGAACCAGGGGGCTCTGGAGCTGGGAATGGGATGGAGCCTGTTACGGAATGGGGCTGGGGGTCCTGCAGCTGGTGATGGGGGCTAGTAGTGGGTCTTGCCCGGTAGGGTCTGGATCCTGGCAGGACAGAGGCGGGGGGAAGAGGGGGTTCATTCCTGGCAGTCTCAGCCCACCCGTGCGAGACGGGGGCCCAGCGGGCTGCCCCCCCTCGGCCCCTTGCCCCTTTTGTGCTCCCAGCCCAAAAGCTCTTTCTTCTCTCCCCTCAAGTCTCCATGGAGACCCGGGTGCCTTCCCGGTATCCCCGGCTGCGGTCGGACCCTTCAGGGGGAATTCCCACGGCCCCCTGAAGGGTCCAGCCACAGCCAGGGATATTGGGAGGGCACTTGTACCTCTCAGCCCCCTTGGCCCCTTCACTATCCCCTGCTGTCCCCCCAGCTCTCAGCATGAAGGAAACCTTCCTGGTGCTCTCGCTGCACAACAAGTTGAGGAGCAAAGTGCAGCCCCCTGCTGCCAACATGCAGAAGCTGGTGAGTCCCCTTGCAGGTCCCGTGTCCCCCACCTTCATGTCACATCCACCTTCCTGCCCGTGCCCAGGGTGGTGGGCAGCCCATGGGTGATACACAGTAGCTTGCTAACAGGCTAATGAAGCAGAAGCGCTGGCTGGAGTGGGGCCCCTGGGGAAGAGCATGTCACTGCGGCATCCAGGGCACACCAAAAACAGGGCTGATCCCTTCTGGTGCCTTTTGGTGTCCCCCATGTCCCTCTGATGCCTCCTAATCACCCAAGGACACAGCAGAGCTGGTTTTTTGGAGTCCTTTGTGGGGTCCCCCATTCCCCATGATGGCCCTTGATATTCCCTGACCACCTAACACCTGAACACACCAAAGGCAGGACTGGTCCCTAGGCGTGGCTCCCATATCCTGTGGTGGCCCTCAATGTCCCTTCATCACCCCCCAGCCACCCACACCAGGGGCAGGACAGGTCCCTAGGGGTCCCTTGCAGCATTGCGCATCGTCGACCCTCTGATATCCCCCAGTCACCTCCTGGACTGACCATCTCGGTGGTCCCCACGCCCTCTGGGGCTGTCATGCTCATCCCCGCAGGAGTGGAGCGATGAGCTGGGGCGGCGTGCCGGGGCACGGGCAGCCAGCTGCCTGGAGGGCCCCGCGCCACCGCCAGCCCCGCAGCTGGGCTGGAGCGAGGTCCTGCTGCCGGCGGCCGCGGGAGGCTTCGGGGCCGTGCTGGAGCTCTGGTTTGCTGAGGGACAGCGCTACGACCACAGGACGGGGCGCTGCGCCGGCAATGCCACCTGCCGCCACTACACCCAGGTGGGCAAGAGGGGCACGGGGGGGCTGCTGGGGACCGGGACCCCAGTGACAAACGCTCTCCCACAGATGGTGTGGGCCACAGCGGGGCAGCTGGGCTGCGGCCGGCACCGCTGCCCCGGCCCCCACGGCCCCAGCGAGGCCTTCGTGTGCGCCTACTCGCCGGGGTAAGGGGCTAAGGGTGGGGCCGGGGCGTGGTGGGTGTGACTGAGAGGGCGGGGCCTGGGCGTGGTGGGTGTGGTTGAGAGGACAGGGCCTGGGAGTGGTGGGTGTGGCTGTGAGGGCGGGGCCTGGGTGTGGCAGAGGGGGCGTGGTGGGTGTGGCTGAGGGGCGGTGCTTGTTGTGAATGGGCGGGGCTTAGCGGTGTGGGTGGGGTCTCAAGCAGGGAGATGCATGGGTTGACCTATGGGATGTGCGGCAGGGGAGGGGGAGCTGGTCTCGGTGCTGGGTGGGACTGTGCACTGAAGTGGGTGGGGCAGGGTGAAGTGGGTGGGGCTTGGAAATGCAAATGGGGCCGTGTTTTAGAAGCGGGAGGGTTGGGATGTTCTGGGCAGGGCTGAGGGCTGTGGACAGGACCAAGTGCTGGAAGTGGGTGGGCTGGGTAACGAAGGCAGGGATGTGGCTTCGCAAGGTGGGTGCGGGCTTGCCCCAGAAAGGGGTGTGGCTTGCCCGGGTGGGTGGGGCATTTTCCTCCAGCTGTCTGTGGGCCAGGGGCAACTGGGAAGTGGCCGGGACGCCCATCCTGCCCTACAAGCAGGGACCCTGGTGCTCCCTCTGCACCGCTGGCCTCTCTGGCTGCTTCAAGTCCTGGGACCACAGCGGCGGGCTCTGCGGTGAGTCCCCCCTGTCACCATGGCCTCTGCATGACCCTGGAGATGCTGCCTCCACCCCTGATGCCCCACTGTCACTCTGGTGCTTCCAGAGGTGCCCAGGAACCCCTGTCGCATGAGCTGCAGGAACAGTGGGCGCCTCGACATGAGCAGCTGCCAGTGCACCTGTCCCCCCGGCTACACGGGCAGGTACTGCCAAGGTGAGAGGGCATCGTGCAGCCTTCAGAGGCCTGTGCGTGGCTGCTGCAGGGCATGCGGGTGCAGCATTGGTGCAGGGCATGCATGGGCACAGCCGGTGCAGTGTGGGCAGGCCTGCCGAGCCCCCTGGCAGCTAATGCAGGGCTGTGCCCACAGTGAGGTGCAGCGGGCAGTGCCTCCACGGGAGGTTCAGGAAGGAGGAGTGCTCCTGCCTCTGCGACGCGGGCTACGGAGGAGCTGAGTGCGGCAGTGAGTCTGTGATCCGCAGGCAGGGCACCCCAAAGTGGGGCAAAGGGTCCTCTGTGGGCCCATCTCTGCTGGCACAAGGACCCACCTGCTCCTGCCTGTGTCCCCAGCAAAGATCCATTTCCCCTTCCATGCCTGTGATGTGCGGATAGACAGCGACTGCTTCATGGTGTCCCCAGAAGCTGACACCTACTATGGAGCCAAAATTAAATGCCAGGTGAACTCCTGGGGTGCTCTGAGCATCTCTGGGCAGCTGAAAAGTGCCTCTGGGCATCTCTCCTCTGCCTGGAGCAGTGCTGAGCCATGCAGGTGGGGCAGACTCACTCCCTTCCCCACAGGAGAAAGGAGCAATGCTGGCCCAAATAAGAAACCAGAAGGTTCAGGACATCCTGGCTTTCTACCTCAGCCGCTTGGAGATGGGTAACAGGGTGACAGACACTGATTTTGAGACTGGAAACTTCTGGATTGGTGAGAGACAGCAGTAGGCAGGGTGCAGAGTGCCTGGGGTGCTGGCAGACATGCCAACCCAGGTCCTGCTCCCCCAGGTCTCACCTACAAGACATCCAAGGCTTCCTTCCGCTGGGATGTGGGCGAGCCGTCCTCGTTCACCAGCTTCGCTTTCGGGCAGCCGGACAACCAGGGGTAAGTGGATCTAGAGGACACCAGACTGTGCATGGTGTCACTGCTGACTGGCTTCACCACTATCCTGGTGGGACACAGGTTTGGGAACTGTGTGGAGATGCAAGCGTCAGCTGCCTTCAACTGGAACGACCAGCGCTGCAAGACCCGGAACCGGTACATCTGCCAGTTCGGTGAGTGAGCGGCTGCGAGCTCTCCTGGGCACCCTGGAGGTGCCAGTCCCCTGCTCTGCTGTGTCTGTCCCTTGCTGCCAGCCCTGCCCAGACCTCTGTGTCTGTTCTGGGGTGGGAGGCACTGACTCTACACACGCCATTGCAGCCCAGGAACACATCGCCCTGTGGCAGCGGGACCCCTGAGCTGGTAGCCCTGGGAAGTGGCCGGCGCTGGCTGCTGTGCTGAACCTGGGGCTCAGGAGGAGCCTGGTGCTGCGCAAAGCCCGGACCATGGCTCAGGAGGATCTCTGCACAGCTCACTTGTGCAGGGCATGAGGGGCTGAGGGAATCCATGGCACTGGGACCTGGCAAGAAGGGGTGTGCTCTGCGTTAGCATCCCTGACACAGCATCTTCTTCTGCCCCTCACCTTCCTCTGTCACTATCACTCTGCAACACCCTGGGCAGGAGACATCCCTTGCAACAGCCAGGTACAAAAGCATCCTCCTCCAAAACTGGCAGCTGGGCTGTGTCTGGACTGTGGTCTCAGCATTATGAGGGGCCAAGGGGGCTCTTTGGGGGTGCAGGCCTTGGCGTAGCTCAGGGAGAACCAGGCTCAGCTCTGAGCCATTGTCCTGACCTGGGTGAGAACGCCCCAGCCTGGTGGGTTTCTCACCCTCCCCTGGTCCTTCTTTATCTGCCTGATCATTAATAAAGACCCTCTCTCCTTTGGAAAGAGCAATTTGTCTCTTTTTCCTCCCCTAAGCCCATCAGACTCTCCTTAGCCACAGTCCACATCCTGCCTGCACTGGATGGAACCTCCAGTTTCATCTCTGGAGTGGGTTCTGGGGTTGCTGGAGCCAAGGCCAGCTTTGGCTGAACTCATCTTCAGCATGTGGGGTTGCCTTGGAGAGATGGTGTTAGCCAAGAGCTGCTTCTTCCAGCCCCAGGATGGCCCCAAGTCACAGCACCCCATGTGCTGGGTGCAAACTGGTACCCCCAGCACTGGTGGGTGTCAGTGGATGCTTTTGGAGGCAATGTGCCACTGCCCTCTCCTGTCATAACAGCCCATCTGGTGCTGGGCTGGGCTGAGAATTAAAATATCTTCATCCAGGGTGTTTCGTGGCCTTTTGGTTGTGCACTGTCCCAGCCGAGGGAAGGCACCATCCACATCGCTGAGCTGTGCTTGGGGCCCCGGGCAAAATGGGCAAACACAGGGTGAAACTGAGCAACGGCCAGGAGGGGAGGGTCCAGCAGGTGTGGGGTGGAGAGGATGGAGGTAGAAAGGAGCCCAGGGAGGGTGAGGGTGAGGATGGAGACCCCGAGGGCGGGGTCCAGCAGGTGGAGTGGGAGAATGGAGCTGGAAGAATGAGGATGAGGGTGAGGATGGCGATGCCGAGGGCGGGCTCCGGCAGGTGGGAAGGGGCGGGAGGATGGAGCTGGAAGGAGCCCAGGGAAGATGAGGGTGAGTCTGGCGGTGCCCGGGGGAGGGTGAGCCCGGTCCCCGCGGTGCCGGCGGTGGTGTGGGCAGGGGCAGACAGCGGCGGGGACAGATCCCCGTGCGGGGCTTGGTGTCCCCGGCCGTGCCGCGGTGGTGCGGCCCGCGACCCCCCGCCCGGCGGTGGTGGCGGCCGGTGGCACCGCGCTCGGTCGGGTGCGGGTGCGGGGTGCGGGTGCGGGGCCATGACGCTCTTGGGCAGCGGGAACGCGGGCTGGAGATGTGAGTACCGGCCGGATCCGGCCCTCCACCCTCCCCGAATGCCCCTTCCCCCGCGGGATAGGCTCTCCTCTCGCACCCCTTCTCCCGGCACTGGGGTGCTCCACAGGCACCGGCAGCTCTGACCCAGGCGGGGCTGTCCCCCTGCAGCCTTCTGGTGCCTCTAAGGCCGCCCGACCCGGACACGGCACCCTTCGGGTGCCCACCACAGTGGTACCTGTCCCTTCCCAGGGTTGGATGGCCTCCCAATACCCAGGATGCCTGGTCCTCCCCATGCCATTGCCCCTGGGACAAGGGTGTCCTCCCAGTACAGGGATGTCCCCTTGCCATTACCCCTTCACACCGTTAGCCCCAGGACAGGAATATCCTCTCAATGCTGGAATTCCCCATGCCATTCCCTCCTAGGACAGGCATTTCTTCTACTTCTGGGATGTCCCCATACCATTAAGTCCAGGTCAGGGATGTCCTCTCAAAACTGGGATGTCCCCTTGCCAATACCCCCCAAGGACAGGAATATCCTCCAAGTACTGGGATGTTCCCCCATGCATTATTCCCCATACAATTACTCCACCAGGGCAGGAATATTCTACCAATACCCTGGGAATTGGTGCAGCAGGCATGGGTACAGCCCAGGATGGCTTTCAGAGCTGCTCAGCATCCCACCACAGGAAGAAGGAACCGCGCCAGCCAGCTTCCTAAAGCCAGCTTTAGGAAGCTTCTGTGGGATTTTGGGATGGTGCCAAGCCTAGCTCTGATGTGACCTGCAGAACCAGCAGTAGGGCAATGCCAACCCAATCACTCCCATTTGCCCCAGCTCCCAAATGTGTTTTCCTTACTGGTTTTCCACAGGCTGTTCTCAGTCAGGCATTGCATCTGCAGCCAGCAGGACTCTAGTAAGAGCTTTATGAGGGCCCCTGGCCTGCACCCAAAGAGTCCTGGTCACCCCTGTGCTCCCAGCGTCACATTTCAGTTCCATGTCCCTCATTTCTCAGTCATCCTTCTCTCACTGGTAGGAACTTGTTCTGTATTTCTAATTTGCTCTGGTAAAACAGTGTATTGTATTGGAAAGAAAAATAGTTTGTATTTCTTTTCTCTGGTTATTCGACTCCAATGCAGTTTTCAACCATCTGAAGTACAGTTTTGTACCCCATTTTGTGTGCTGCCAGCTTTGAGTGCTTTCTTGGATGCTGCCTTTCCTACAGCTCAACCCAGAGATATGAGTGCAGCTCTGCCCTGTATCCCAATGAAAAATATCCAGAATATTCCCTACCAGCCCATCATGGTGCAGCCTGGCAGACAAGACCACCTGCTCCGCTTCATCCCCAGGAATAATCAGACTCCAAGGAAGCACCCAGCTCCCTCCAAACTCCTCAAGGGCAGTGGGAGCAGAGGGGGTGACCCTGATTGTAGAAGCACATCTTTCCACCTCTGCCCATAGCTGGCAGAGGCCCCAGGAGGGCCATGCAGGCAGAAGACTCACCAGAAAAAATACCATTTATTATTATGAAAAAACTAACAAAACACAACTCTGCCACCCTGAAGCACTGCCTGGTCAAGGAGTCCAAGGGATGCACAGTCCATGCCGTGACTGGTTCCTGCCTGGTGCTGCCTGCACAGATGGATATGGTGGGGAGCTTGGAGTGAGGGTTTCAGCCTGATGCTCTGACCACCCCGGGGGGAGATGTGGGGTCCTAGAGTGCCAGCAATTGCTTGGAGGGAGGTCTCGGGCAGGCTCTGGCTGCTGAGGCAGTATGGAGGTTGTTCTTGGAGGGCTTCAGCAGCGTGCAAGGCTGTTTGGGTCCCACTGTGCCAGTTGAAAACGATCTTCTGCAACACGAGGGCTTCTCCACTGCACTCTGGGGTGCCTGGGCAGTGTGGGGGGGTGCAGATTCCCGTGTCCTCGGGCACAGTTCTTGGGCCTCCAGCTGTGTGGGCAAAACGAGGGGTCTCCAGCAGTGCAGAGGCTGGCTCATCCAGTCTCCAGCAGCGTGAGGCGTGGATCAGGCCGGCTCTGGGGGTTCACCAGCAGTTACAATCAAACTTAATAAACTTTTAAGACTCTAAAAGTAAACTTATTTTAATCCCCAACAATGATGTGTGGATCAGGCAGGCTCCAGGGGTCTCCGGCAGCACTGAAAGCAGCTCGGGCAGGCTCTGGGACATGCCCCATCCCCAGAGTGGGGCACGCAGGTCTCACGGGCACTCAGGCACTGGTGGCGGCGGCGGCAGCGGCGGCGGCATCGCGGCGCTGTGCGGCCCGCAGCAGGCTCTGCCGCAGCACCGGGTACTGCCGGTGGCAGCCATCGAGGCCGAGCCGCAGGGCTTGCGCCCAGTCCTCGGGCGGGCCGCCCCGGCCGCCGCCCAGCACGGCCGACACCTGGTTGAGGGCGGGCAGCAGGGCCAGCGTGAGGCGGGCGGCGGCGCGGCGCTCCTCGGGCTCGGCGGGCTGCAGCATCCATGAGGCGGCGGGCGCGGGCGGCCGGCACAGCGCGCAGCCCACGGCCAGGTCGTACATCTCCACGCCCGCGTCCGCCAGCGCCAGGGCGGCGGCGCTGACGGCGGCGGCCAGCGCCGAGCCCCCGTCCTGCAGCAGCAGCGCGCTGACGGCCAGGCGGGCCCGCGGGCTCGCCCCGCGAACGGCGCCCGGCGGAACTCGCAGATCAGCCGGCCCGGGCCGGGCTCGGCCGCGTCCCGCGGGCCCCAGGCGGCGCAGAGCACCTTGGTGCCGCTGCCCAGCTCCACGTAAGCCGAGCCCTGCGCCTGGCTCAGCAGCCCGGCCCTCGCGAACAGCGGCCGCAGGGCACAGGGGTCCCGCGGCGCCGCCCCCGCGCCCTCCTCGTCCTCCTCATCCTCGGCCGCGGTCGCTGCCCACAGCGCCGGCGGCTGCGACTCCTCCGGGCCGCGCAGGCGGCGGTGATCCAGCGGCATGTTCGGCGGGACGCCGTGAGAGGGCGGCGGCGGAGCGGGCCCAAGCAGGAGGCGGGCACCACGGAAAAGCTGTGACTGGCAGCAGGATCCCACCCCATCCGTCCCATCCCGCCCCGCCTCCAGAGCCGGGGAGCAGAGCGCGGGGCAGGGAGCCTTTATTACAGGAAAGCTGCGCAGGGAACAGAGAGAGGGACACAAAGGGACGGAGGTTCCTCCCTCAGTCAGTTCTTCAGCTCCCCCAGGCGGAGCCTGGCAAAGTCCGTGGCCAGTTTCAGGGCTTCCTGCAGGCAGCCCACATTCTTGCCTGTTGCCTGTGCAGAGATGTCCTTTCCACCGCCTTTGCCGTCCATCAAGCCAGACACTTCCTGCACCCACTGGCTGGCCTTCAGGCCCTTATTTGCAGTCTCCTGGGCAGGAAAAGAAACCGAGCGGTCAACTGAACAGCAAGTGCTCTGCCCTGTGCCTACCACCCCATTAAATCCTGACTCTTCCCCTTCCCTGTCTGCAGAGCATAACCCCTCTTTCCTCACTTCAGCAGCCTGACAATAAGCCCAAGCACAAAGGCTGTGGCTCTTGCCAAGCCCCAGTCAGTTCTGGCTGTGTAATGTTAGATAGTTCCTGCCTGGAGGCTGCAGCTCCTCCACGGAGCAGCTGCAGGGAGAGGCAGCCGCACAGTCTTGGCATTACCTGGGGTACTTGACACAGGCAGGTGATCCTGCCAGCTTCATTATCCACAGCAAAGAGCATAGCAGCAGTCTGGGGGGAATTAGTCTTGAAGAGCTTCAGAGATTCGTTCAGGGCCTGGGAGAGAACAAAATCATTTTGTAACTGCCTCCCTGCACTTGCACCCAGTCCAGCTCCAGCCCCAACAGCAACCACAGAGAAGATGCTTTTATTTCCCCACTTTGAGGTATACAGCAATTGGCAAAATCAGCCCCAGAATAAACCTTTGCCTGAGTGTACTGGCTGGAGGAGAAAGAGCTCCTCCCAGCAGAAGGGAGCAGCTGTTCCAAAGGGAGTCAGGAGTACTCAAACACAGCATGAAGAGCCTGCAAGGGTTATCAGACACAGCAGGCAGGGAAGAACCAGAGAGACTGCCACACATTCTATCATTCTCAAGGAGACCATCATCCCTCACTCACACAGACAGCACAATGCAGCACAGAGACCCAGGAGCAGGTCCTCTGGCGAGCAGTGCTGCTCTGGGAGGACCCTGGGCTGCCAGCACTGACATCCCATGGGATGCACCCTTCTGCCAGGGAAAATGCTGCAACAGCACCCACTGGGAACAGAAGCGTGGGTATCATGGTGATGCTGGTGGACACAGAGAGTGAGCAGGATCAGCTCCAAGACTCTCAGAGAGGAAATTTTAACAGAGCATTAGCCCAGAGAGGTCTAAGCCCAGGCACAACCAGCTCCCACTGCCTGACACTTACTGGGCTCAGCACTGTGACACAACACACACAACAGAGCATTCATTCCAACAGAAATCACTTGGAAAATAACCTGTGTGTGGAGGAGGGAAGGAGCAGATTCAGCCCTGGCCAGGGAAGAACTTGAAGCCAGCTGAGCAGACAGTGCTGGGAGCAGCTCTCTGCCTGGCCCTGTCCACACTCAGCCCAGGACACCACTCCTGGAGCTGATCTGCAGGGGCCACAAGCATCATGACTGTCATGGCTCAGCAGAGCTGCTGCTCTCAGTCCCTTAAGTGCATTTCAGTGACTGCAGCAGGATGAGTCTTACCTGGGACACAATAGGATTTCTGCTGGGCTCCATGTCTACCAGCATGTCTGGAAACTCAGCAAGTGGTCAAAACCCCACCACTCCCGCAAGCCCATGTGCCAGTCCAGGAGGTGGGACACAAGAGACTATCCTAGTGGTCCCTTCCCCTGCTCAGGGATGGCAGGTGGCAAGAGGGACAGGTCTGTAGCACTGAATCACCTCCCCAAGTGCTGAAAGACCACCCAGCTGCTCCTCAGGCAGAAGGAAGGCTGCTGTGGACAGATCAGACTTTCCCATACCTTTGCTGAGGCTCCATTTTCCATTTCCATGATGACCCATGGCTGGTTAGGGTGACTCTCAATAACTTGCTTTGTCTTCTCCAGTACCTGAGGACAACAGTGGTCAGCCACTAAACCATCCACACTGTGTATGGACACAAGAACCACCTGGGTAGAGCAGGGACAGAGGTCCCCAAGCTGCCCAGACACACCCACAGCCCAGCCTGGAGCAGCCTCACACTATGAAGCCAGGAGGAATGTACTCTGACAGGCAGGTGTGTGGCCTGCAAGACAGAATGTCATGCATGATTTCTCCTCCAGAAAACTCCAGTGGGATCCAGGAGGAAGGCTGCACCCAGGGGCACTGTTAGGGCAGGAACAGGCTGCCATGCTTCAACCCAGGAAACAGGCACAGAGGTAATTCTGCTTCAGGAGGGAGCAGGAGAAGCTGAAAGGCTGAACAGTGTGAGGGGCACTGCCACACATCAATTCTCTTCCATCTTGGATACTAACAGAGCTCCCAAAGGAGCTCGCCACAGCCCTCCCACACTGTCCTTTGTTCCAGCCCACAGCTCACTCTTTTCTGGATGTCGGCTTTGCTTGCTCGGTCCAGGTCATCCATGACCTTCTTCAGTGCTTTAACAGCCTCTCTCAGTTCATCTTTCTGCCACTGTGGGATAACAGCAGTGGCCAGTGTCTGCAAAAGAGGAGCAGGTAGAAAAGGTTAAAGGCACCAGCAACCACGGTAGGAGATGCAGCACCTCATGAACTTGGCCTCAGCTGGCACAGCCCAGTAAGCTCCACTCTGCTCCCAGTGCCAATGACCTGAGGAAACAGGTGCTGGCTGCAGCACCCATGGGATGCAGGGCTGTTGGACAGGAGCAGGAAGGTGAACTCAGGCCTCATGAATACCCAGTTCTGGCAATCAAGGTCCCTTTCACTTTGGGGAGGCAGAGAACTGCTACCATCCTCACCTCACTGAGATCCGTGATCTCCTTCTGCACGTCTTTGTTGGGAGCTGTCTGGACCTTCACCTTGGCCTCCAGGGCTGACAGCACTTTCCTGAGGCTGTCGACTTTCCTGAGGGCCTAGGAGGATACAATCTGATTTAAATCCAGCCGGAAGATTGAGCAGGCTGGGCTTTTGGTCACCCCAGAGTGCAAAGAGGTGAGCAATGCTGGAATGCCCCAGGATGGAGCTTAGTAACTCTTGGAAAGCCACAGGACCAAAGCAGGCAGCACCTGACCAGAACCAGGGTGTGATGCTGGCATATGGGCTCCAGGTCTCTTTCCTTTGCCAGGATTGCCAAGATCCCACCAAAAGAGAAATAATCTCCCCCATGAAACCCCCTTCTCCCACTTTAGGGAGCACCAGCCCACATCCAAAGTCATTGCCTCCTGCAGCAGAGGACTGGATTCTCAGACTTCACCACTCTCCTGCTGGCCCTGCCAGCTGCTGAGAGCTCTACATTGGCAGCCACTTTGAAAAGCAACCTGAGCTAACCCTGAAGCCATTCTACACACCCACCCAGGTTTGTCTGCCACAACACCTACAGCTAAGACTTCCCTCTCTCTTCCCTGCTCCGACTGTAGTACAGCCATGGTCTCCAGAACAGTCTTTGGCAACAGCAGCACCCTTTTCCATGAGTCCCTCAGAGGATATTGTGCAAATTTGAACAAAATTAACTTTGGCACAGGGTTAATAGGTGGAATTTCACAGAGGATCTCTCCTGCCTACCCTTACCTTCCGAGCTTCAGCCCCGGTGACTGCAACTATCCTCCGAATGCCTTTAGCAATTGCTTCTTCTGAAACAATCACAAAGGGGCCAGCATGGCTGGAGTTCTGCAAGTGCCTTTGGAAAGAACCCAGACAGACCCAAAAGAAAGTTAGAAGTCCACTTCTCATCTCAGCAGGAATCAGCAAAGAAATAAGACAACCATCCTGCCAGGGAAATGCAGCAGTGTGGGGACAGGCAGAAAAAACAACCAGTGCTGAAAGCAAATGAGTGAGGAAAGGGTGGTAAGACCTGCACTCCCAGCACTGCCAGAGACCCTGCATGAGGGCAGGGGCAATACAGGCAGTTTCCTGCCTGCAAAAGGTAATTTTAATAACTAATTGACTCAGGAATGGGAATGCAAAGGCACATCATCACCACCACCTCCATCTCTGCCCTGGATCTGCCCAGGGTATGCTCATGACACTCCCAGGAGCTCAAGCTCCACAGGAACTCCTTTCAGCCACCCTGCCACCTTCCCCAGCCTCTCCAGGCACTCACGTCCCTCCGCAGAACTCAATAGAGGTGATGGAGCCCCCGGGGCCAGAGGGGTCAGCCAGCAGCTCCTCCACAGGGATGCCAATGGAAACCACACGGACAGGATCAGGATAGGTCTCGTCAAAAACTGCCCGAAGCCCTTGGATAGCTTTGGCTTCTGCAAGAGGGCAGTCCTTGGCATACACAGTCTGCAGGGGACAGCAAAGGGATGCAGGTAAGAGCCAGTCCGGTCAGCTGTGACTAAGGGCCCACATTCCCAGGAAATTTCTTCCTCTGAAAGATTCTAGAAGTGAAGTCTTGTGCCTTAACTGAGCTGGGGTTTGTTGAGCTACAAGAATCACAAAGTTTCTAAAAGATGTCTCATCTTCAAAACTCCCAATACCACCTGCTCAGACTCCCTGTGTGTTACTGCACATGCAAATGGTTCCAAGCACAGATTCCAGGGTCTTTCTGGGTCAGCTCTAACATTTGGCACCAGACAGAGTAACTCTCCTGCCACTGGGAACACATCACCGGGTTGTCTGTAAATCCAGCCAGGCCTGCAAAACTACTCTGCCAAACTTCCCAGCTCTTGCAGCTGATTTGACACTACTGCAGGCATGGGAACACTTCAACCCTACAGAGGGCTTGAAACCAATGAACTGAACAATCCATATGGGATTTTCCCAATCAAAACCCTCTAAGGTGATGGCAATCTGTGCACAGTACTGCACCAGCAGCTCAGAATCCTCCTGTGCATGCCAAACTCCCAGCAACCCAGATCATCCAAAACAGAGACTCTAGGTACACAACGTGTCACCCACACCCACCTTTGACTCCTCGATCATCTGGTTGGCAATCCCCTC